TCAATTATATATATGTATATGTATGTTTGTATATATATATATATATATGTATATGTATATCTACTCTGATTAGATTTCAGACCTGGCCTACGTGTGAGTGTGCTTAAGTTCAATTTTTGACCTGATTACTAGCATGTTGTAATTGTTTGCATTTGACTATAGTTGGAGTTAAGTGTACGTAATAAGCTGCTCCTGTCGATAGAGAACTCCATTGGTCTACTTTACCCATCAGCTAGCACATGGCGAAACTACTCTAACCTTTGTATCAGATCGAGTTTTTGTGATACATACCGTATATGTAGTACAATATCGCATACCTTGTATATCACCCCCGCTGATTATTTTTACAGAACGTTTAATGTTGAAAAATCCGCTCATCAATAATCGGGTGCCGTATCGGTACCCTTCGTCCAGTCTCTGTATGATTTGTGATTACTGCAATATATATATGTATATATATATATTTGTATGTATATATATATATTAATATGATATATTATATTATGTATGTATATGTATAATATGTATATTGTTATATTATTAAATTGTATTATATTATATTTCATTATGTATATATGAACATATATATATATATATGAACATTGGAAATGGAGCTTAGCTCAGCAGTTATCTGCGTCACATAGCGGATGAGTTTCGAGTATGATCAAGTCACACCTGAACCGTGTATTTCAAGCAATCACTACGCTATACGGTTTTTTTCCATACCAACATCATCGCCGTACTTAATTTGTTCGTTTTAGCTGCACTAACTCTATATATTATATCACTTTACCAACTATATCTATTAAAGTAGCTATGTATATTATATCGAACTAAATCTACCATCATCTTTGTATACTACTATAGAGCTCAGCTCATTGATAACCTGCGTCAGATAGCGGGCGCGCCGTCCGTACCTTTTATACAAACACCCGGACCTGCCTTCCACGAGAGTGATGACGAAGATGAGGATGACCAAGACACGCGACTTATACAGAGACAAACAGACAAGCGCATAGCCTGCGACGAAGAGCTCAGTGACAGTGAAGACGAGGGTGAGGGCGGTAGGAGAGACCAGAGAGCATCTGGTGAGTGATTGGTGTACATTCGTTAATATGTGTGTACATGATTTTTGTGTTAGTATATATATATATATATGTGTGTGTGTACGTCTGTACATATGTACATATGTACATATACATATATATATATGTATGTATGCATGTGCATCTATATGCAATCTGTATGTGTATTTAAGAATTGTATTTTGTACCGATGTGTTATGTTTGCATGTCGCGCATGTTTTGCATTATACAATCAACCCAATTTTAAACGGGCATGGTAGTCGTGTTGGGGGTAAATATTTTTACAAAACTGGAGAGGTTATTTGGCACAAGTACATGAAATTTCACTTGAAATGTCTGCACTGCCTGGAAATACATATAGTGAGACCAACCCGCTCGGTTGCCCCAATTTGGTGTCTACTCTGCAAAGGTCTGAACTATAATAAATTTTATACAATTAGGAAGGGAACATATGGAGTGTGATTATGTACTGTTTTCCAAGTATGTGAATATGCAACGACCGTTTATATACCGGATTTTAATTTAGTGTATATATAGATATATATATACACATACATACACACACACATATATATATCTATACATATTGTATGTTATGTAAATACATACATTCATATATATATATTTGTGCATTTATCTATATGTATATATACATTTGTATGTATATATATATATTCACATTTATATTAACATCTATATTTATATAAACATTAACATTTATATTTATATTTATACAGATATATATA